ATCGCCCTCCGCTTCTTGTTTATCCTTTTCGCCCCATTCACGCCGCTGATCAAAGGGGTCATCTTCAGTTCCCCACATCCTCTCCCCCCGCCGCCCATCCCCACTGCAGTGAAAAGGAATCCATCCCTTTCCCGGGACGGTCCCGGCGAGCCGCGATCGATAATCATCAATGCCGCCGGGGACAGGCGCGACATTTATCTCGTGCGCACGCAGATGGAGCATTATTAAACGCACAACCACGGGCCGCGTTGATTGAGTGCCCGGAGCGGCGATGGCAGCGTTTCGGTCTCACGTCGCCTCGTCCCGTCCCGTCCCCCATCCCGTCTCGTCCCGTAGCGTCCCAATCCGTCCCATCTCTCTTCTCTTCGTCTGGCCCCGTCTAACCCCGTCCGTCTCGTTCCGTCCAACCCCATCCCGTCTCGTCCCGTTCCTCTCTGTCCCGCCCCGCTCCGTCTCGTTCTGTCCCGTCCCACCCTGTCCCGTCCAACCCCGTCCCATATCTTCCGACCTCGTTCCTTGCAACCCGTTCAACCCATCCTATCTCACCCCATCGCATCCCATCCCTCCTCATCTTCTCCCATCCCTCCTCATCTTCTCTCATCCCACCCAGTCGGGCAAACCCCGCCGCAGCGCCGGGACTCCCCTTGCTGTCCCGGTGCCCTCCAGACCCCCGCTCTCTGCTGCCGCGGGGCTACGGGAGACAGCGCCCGGAGGGATCAGCGGTCGGTACCGCCCCGCGTCCGTCCCCATACGGCTGCTCGGTGGGGCAGGAGAAGGGTGAGAGCAGCCCTCCGCTTCGGGGAATTGTCTGAGTTGCGCTGTGGCCTCTGAGAGGTGACAGCCGTGAGTGCGGTGAGCAAATTCCGATGGAAGCCGCATGATGGGCGCGTGGGAAGCAGCTTACCGGGCTGTATCTTGCAGAGACCCTAAGAGGAGCAGACTCAGTTACCCGGCTCCTACCGCCGGATACACATCTATACGCTGCTTTCTTTCTTTTTTTCCCCTTCGCTTTTGAGATTTATTCAGCGTGACTATTAAAAACACAGCAGAAAAGACCAAAAAAAAGCTCCGTACCTGCTGCAGCTTCTTCTGAAATCAGTGGATCAAACCTGCGACCGCGACTTCTCCCCAAGGAGAAATACTCCGGACTTTCCCTTTGGGGAGTTACAAAGTGTGGAGATAGAACGTTTGCAGCCGTGAATTAGGCAGGGCTGAAAAAGAAAGAGTGGGAAATCTCACTTTTCCCTTTATTCCTCATACGTGGGTGGCTGCGTGTGCGCTAAAACACTGCAAAACCCGCGCACTTTTCTCAATTCCTGAGAAATCCCTGCGATTTTACTCGCCCCGAGCCATAACCCCACCTAATCCCAGCGCTTCTCTTTATCTTAATTAAAGCCCCGATAAGAGCAGGATGCTTTCGGTCTGCTTCGTTGTGGCTGTGAGTGCAGCCGCTATCTGTCGGGTTTCACCTTCCAAGGCGATGCCGGCGCAGGAGACCGCAGCGCGGAAGGGACCTGTGGCTGCCACACATTCGGGCCGTGCGCTGCCCGCGGAGCTCCGCGCTGCCCTCGGGCCGGGCTCTGCCTCCCGGTGATGTCGGTTCTGTTCCCGGCGCAGCCCTTTCCCTATCGCAGCCCCCCGGTGCCCGCAGAGCAGAACGTCGTTTTGCACAACACATTTGGTGCCGTTCCCTTAAGGATCGAAGCAGAGCTAAAGGGATCACCGGCCTGAACCCGATTCACTGAAATGGTAATATGGTCGTCCTTAAAAAGAAAGAAAGAAAGAAAGAAAAAAGTGTAGGTATTTTCTGGTGTTTTCCCATCAAGTACCTGCCCAACTTCTGTATGGCACACGCCGGGGATCAATAGAAGTTAACAAGTCCTCCAAACATTCCCCATCTCTTTGTTTAATCGCCTTTACAATAAAGCCGAGGGGAGAGAATTAAAAATCTTTGAAGTATATTAAACCTCAAAGGGCTCAGCCAAGTAGACTTAAAGTAGTCACTTATTTTCCAAAACTGGTTTGTCGGGGAACAATAAAAGGAAGCAAAATTTATGGGGAAATTATACAGTGGATTTGTCACTTAAAATATCGTAACTGTCGCGGGGACAATACCCCATGCTGAGGATTAATGGTCCCTCCAGACCTTTGATTCATCAGCGCCTTTTCTTTGCCCTTGACAAATTGGATTTTTAGGAATGGGAAGGTCGCCCGGCCCATTGTTCGCCGCCCATTCACAGCGCCTGATTATGCGGGAGGGTGAGGGAACGGCTCCATGTGACCCTCGCGGATGGGACCCGCAGCTGCTCGAGGAGCCGACTCTCTCACCGCGGCCCCGCAGCACCCGCCCGCCGCGGGGTCCCCCTCCTGCGCCCATTCAAAAGCCGCCCCGCACGCGCGGCCGCGTCACTCTGCGGGCGGAGATACGCCGCGCTCGTCCTCCTCGGCCCCGGCCCCGTTAAGTGCTCGGGGTCCCCAGCGCTCGGCCCCACAGGCAGCGATGCACGCGAGCCGGGCTCCGGCCATCAGCGTGAGCGCCGAGAGCTGCATCCCCGCCGGGCTGCGCCTGGGGCCCGTGCCGGGCATCTTCAAACTGGGCAAGTACCTGTCCGACCGCCGAGAGCCGGGACCCAAGAAAAAGGTATTTCCCTCCCGTCTGCCGCACCGCCGGACCTCGCTTTGCGCTCAGCTTGGGAGAAGAAGCTGCTTTCCCCTCTCCCTTGCCGCTCCGCTGCCTGCCACGGCCGGACAGCCTTACCCCTTAGCCCCTACCCCTTAGCCCCTACCCCTTAGCCCTTACCCCTTAGCCCTCTCCCGGCTTCGGAGCAGCTCGGTACCCGCCCCGTCCCGTGGAACTGCGCTCCTCGGAGCCCACGGCGCACGGCCGGGAGCGGGGAAGCTCCAGGGCCCAGAAGCAGAGCTCAGAACCTCCCGGTGCCTGCCCCGGGCTCGGACCTACGGGGGATGCTCGTCTGCGAGGCTGTGGGTGCGGGCGGAAAGCCCAGACCGCTTCCCACCCCCTGCGCGTTCCGCTCGGGTTTTTAATGCCCTTTAATTGTTTTTAAACGCTCTGCCAGCCCGCTCAAATTTATTTCTCATCTGGCTCCCTCAGTTCGTCGCTCTAGAGCGCTTTGTTCCGATGACTTTTATTGCACGGTCATTCGGCGGATGGGCACTTTATTTTCCCTTTGTACGGGTAAGCAGGTTATGAAGGATGGCTCTGCTGGGACCTCGGCGCTGCGCAGCACCCGCTCCTCTCTCCCTCTGCCCCCGACCCGTCCCCGTGCCTTGCGCGTTCTCTCTGCGTGGACCCAGGGGTTGCACAAACCCTAAAAAAAAAAAAAAAGAGAAGAAAAGGGAAAAAAAGGAAACAAACAAACAAACAAACAAAAAAAAAAAAAAAAAAAAAAAAAGGAGGGGGGGAGGGGGAAGAGGGAGGAAGGAAAAAAATGGGAAAAAATGGGGAAAAAAAGGAAAAAAAGGAAAAAGTATCGAGTGTCCAGTATCACCATACATGGGGGCATTTAGAGCAGTGCTGCTACAGGCAGCTGCAGACCAGCGCCAGGCCCGGGTCTGCCATCCCCAGAGCTCACTCAGGGCCGGTCCCAGAGGTTCTATGGCGGTGAAGAAAACACCGACGGTGCCCCGATGGGTAGGAACGGGGCCGGGCCGCAGGGGGCACAGGTGACACCCTTGGGATCTTTTTGCCCCGGCTCGGGAGAGAAGTGACGGCGGCGACGCTGTGTTCCAGGTGCGGATGGTGAGAGGGGAGTTGGTCGATGAAGCCGGTAGCTCCGCTTTGGAGTGGATAGGGTTAATCCGGGCAGCCCGCAACGCCCAGGAGCAGACTCTGGAGGCCGTCGCGGACCTGCCGGGAGGACAGGTACACCCCGCCCGTCCCTCGCCGCTCCCCGCGCCGCCCCCGCGGCTCTCTGACCGAGTGCCCCTTCTGCCCCCACGCAGATCTTCTACCGGGCGCTGCGCGACGTGCAGCCCGGCGAGGAGCTCACCGTGTGGTACTCCAACCCCTTGGCGCAGTGGTTCGACATCCCGCTCACCGCCACCCCCACGCACGACGAGAAAGGTACGGGACGCGTTGCCGGGTCCCCACGTGCAATACGGGTGGTGAGTGAGTGCGAGATAACCGCATCGGAGCAGCGTGCCGGCACGGGGACTTCAAACCTCTCCGCACGACCCCCCGTCGCCGATTTCCGAAGGGCGATCCGCGGTAGCGTACGGCAGGGCCCCATCCCTCGGGGCGCTCTTGCAGGGGCACAACTTAACATCGCCGAGTGCGCGGTGGGGCTGTAGGAAACAACTTTGCGGCTAAGTGCCTCTGGAGGGGAGGTGTGTGTACGTGGAAATATCGTTTCCCCCTCGCGTGTGCCCCGGCCGGAGCCTCGCACGCGCGTGTCGGGGTGTAACGCGGGCAGAACAGCGGTCAGTGAGAAGGTGGATCATTCGATGAAGCTCAAACCGGCCCTAAATGTCCCTAAGACGCCCGAGGACATTGGGAATGGAAAGACAGCGGCCCTGGACCACTCGCTTCAATGCGCAAACCGATTCTCAGCTGGAATTGTACCCCTCATCTTTACTCTGCGAAGAATCAGTGACAACGCGGTAATGCACGAAATGGGGGGAAGGAAGTTGGAAAACTTCAGCCCGAGCCTCGCTCGACGCGACCACGGGCGCTCCGGAACCGCTGGAACTGACGCTGGGAAACCGCCTGCCGTCGAACACGCGCAGGAACTCTCGCATGGCTCCATGTGCCGAGGCGGTACCCGGAGAGGCAGCCCCTGCTCTGCACCCCCCACGGACAGCAGCGGGACCCACCTTCACGTCCGAGCCGACCCCACGGCCCCGCCGTTCCCAGCCCGATTGGTGCTGGGCCGGAATTCGAATGCTGAAGCTCTAATGCTAAGGATGGAAAACTGGGGAAAAAGAGAAAAAGAAAAGAAATACAACCAAAAAACAGAGTGGAAGAAATTTTCATGTTAGTTTCAATATTTTCGAAAGCTTGAACAAACGAAACCCAATCGAATTGATCTTAACGTTATGCGATAGAGCCGATTTTCTTTCTTTTTCGATATACTTTATTTTTATTTTTATTTTATTATTATTATTTTTTTATCCCCTTCCCGCTCTGGGCTGGGACAGCCGTGCACGCAACCATGCCGCTGAGAAGCACGGAGCCAACAGTGCGCGTTGGAAACGGGCAACGGAACGGGCGTCCGGAGCTGGGCATGGCGTTGTCCGAGAGCTGTGCCGCTCCACGTCCGTCCCGACGCCACCGTTTTGCCCAGCAAGCGGGGGCTCCAAGGGTTGTCCGGTACTCGGCCGCTTGTTGGTCGTTGGAGTGCGTGGAGCCTTGAGGGAGGAGTGGATGGGAGCGTGTGGGGCGCGCAGCAGCTGAGGGAACTTCGGGGATGTTGAAAATGTGTGAGCGATGTTTGGAGATGGACGGCTCAGATGGTAGAGGGATGGGGAAATGGGTATGGGTGGTGGAGGGGAAGAAATCAAGGAAAGAGGGAGGGGAAGTGAAAGGTTCAGGGAGAGAGAGGGGGAGAGGAAAGAGAGAAAGAGAGAAAGAGAGAAAGAGAGAAAGAAAGGAAGGGAGGAAGGGAGGAAGGGAGGAAGGGAGGAAGGGAGGAAGGGAGGAAGGGAGGAAGGGAGGAAGGGAGGAAGGGAGGAAGGGAGGAAGGGAGGAAGGGAGGAAGGGAGGAAGGGAGGAAGGAAGGAAAGAAAGAAAGAAAGAAAGAAAGAAAGAAAGAAAGAAAGAAAGAAAGAAAGAAAGAAAGAAAGAAAGAAAGAAAGAAAGAAAAAAAGAAAGAAAGAAAGAAAGAAAGAAAGAAAGAAAGAAAGAAAGAAAGAAAGAAAGAAAGAAAGAAAGAAAGAAAGAAAGAAAGAAAGAAAGAAAGAAAGAAAGAAAGAAAGAAAGAAAGAGATAAAAAAGGAAGAAGATAAAGAATGAAGGAAAGAAAGGATGGAAGAAAGGAACGAAAGAAAGGAAGGAAGAAAGAACGAAAAAAGAAGAATGAAAGGCAGGAAGAAAGGACACGTTCAGAGAAGATGAAGACGTCCGCACGGCGGATGCCCCCCGCAGGCAGCGCAGAACGAAGCGGCGCTCCGGGCCGGGCCGGCAGCGAACAGCCGCGGCCACCGGGGTCTCTTCCGCTTGAGAGGATCCGAAATGTTCGGAGCCGGGGCACAAAGGGCATTGTCCTCTGAAAGGGAACGATTACATATGGCCCATACATATCGGATATTGTCTCGCCGCGTAATGAGGGGCTCACGATCATTAGATTGGCCTTTGTTCGGCGCGGCCGGCTCCCCGCCATACGCCGCCTCTGCTGCGAGCGCCAACAGATGGCCCCCACCCCCGACAGCCGACCCCGGCGGCAGCTGCTCCCCCCCGTGCCCGGACGGGAGAACTCCGGGGCCGCATCGCGCAGTGCCACGGGGTGGGAGCGGGACGGGAGCGGGACGGGAGCGGGGCTGCGGGCCGCGGGCTGAAGGTGCTGCCCTTTCCCTCCGCAGGGGAGGAGCGCTACATCTGCTGGTACTGCTGGAGGACCTTCAAGTACCCCAACAGCCTCAAGGCCCACGTCCACTTCCACTGCGCGCTGAGCCACGGGCGGCCCTTCCTGCACTCCGAGCACGGCCGCCCCCCCCGCCGCCGCCGCCTTCGGCCTCTCCTCGAGGGCGGCCGGCCCCCATCCGCCTGGCTGCGGCCCGCGAGACGCCGTCAAACGAGAGGCCGCCGCCGCCTCCCCGCCGCCGGTCAAGCCCCGACGTGCAGCGGGCAAGGAGGAGCAGGAGCGCGCCCTGGACATGAGCGTGGGTGCCGGCCGCGGTCCGGGCGTGCTACTGGGGCCGGCGGGCGGCAACGGGCTGGCTCTATGTCCGGGGGCGCGCTCCGCCTTCCGCCCCGCCGGGCCGCTGCGGGAGGAGGCGCGGGCGGCCGCGGGCTTCCCCAAGCTGCTGGGGGGGCTGAAGGCGGGCCGCGCCGCCGCCGAGCCGCCACCCAAGTGCGGGGCGCTGCCGGCCGAGACCGCACCTCCGACGGCGGCCGCCGCCGCCGCCGCGGCCGCCGCGGCAGGGCTGGCGTGCGGAGGGGGGCTGCGGGCATTCCCGCTGCTGTCGCCGCTGGAAGAAGCCTCGGCCTTCCGACCCCTGGAGCGCGGGCTGCCCGGCGCCGCGCTGCCGCCCGGCCGCTACCCGCCGCTGCCCGGCGGCGCGCTGGAGCGGTTCGCTCTGCCGCCCTTCGAGGGGCTGAAGGCGTACGCGGGGGAGTGCGGACTGCCCGTGATGCCGCTCACCGTGTACGGCGGGGAGCTGTTGTACGGCGCAGCGCCCTACTACCCGCTGAAGCTGCACCTGGGCGGGTTGCTCAAGTACCCCGAGGCCGTGCCGTACTTCGGCGGGCCGGCCACCGGGCTGCACGCCGCAGAGCTGGGCTCGCTGGCCGGCATCGACCGCGAGATCGCCATGCACACGCAGCAGCTCTCCGAGCTGGCGGCCGAGAAGGGGCGCGGACGGCTGGAGGCGCTGCCCGCGGGAGCGGCGGGGGCGGCGGGCGGCAAAGCCAAGGCAGGGCACCTGTGCCTGTACTGCGGCAAGCTGTACTCCCGCAAGTACGGGCTGAAGATCCACATGCGGACTCACACCGGCTACAAGCCGCTCAAGTGCAAGGTGTGCCTGCGGCCCTTCGGGGACCCCAGCAACCTCAACAAGCACATCCGTCTGCACGCCGAGGGCAACACGCCCTACCGCTGCGAGTACTGCGGCAAGGTGCTGGTGCGGCGCCGCGACCTGGAGCGGCACGTCAAATCCCGGCACCCGGGGCAGGGCCTCGGCAAGGTGGCCGAGGAACGCAGTGACTCTGGCTACGCGCCCGCCGAGCGCGACCAAAAGACTGACAACGAGAGCGACGTGGACGTCTGCTTCACCGACGACCAGAGCGAGCCCGAGAGCGGCGGCAGGACCCGGCAGCAGTAGTGCCGACAGCCCCCGGTGCTCTGGGGCGGGGCCGAGCCCCGGCTCCCGGTGCAGCCCCGGTGCGCGGCCCGAGCGACGCGCACCGCCCCTCGCTGCTGTACCGCCGCCTGGAGGAAATTGTGCCTTTGGGGAACGGCTCTTCTCTGCGTCCTCTCCTCCCGCGGGTGCCGGCGGCAGGAGTCGCGGTGCCGGCTCTGCAGCGCCGCTGTGGGCTCCGCCGCGGTGCTCGGGTCCCGACGGAGCGGCATTGCTGCGATTACGGTGGGCGAATACCGACAGCTGTCTGGGGAAAAAACAGCGAAGGCGAAAACTAGGGAGAGAAAAGGCGGCAAAAAGCCCCACTCGCAGCACTGGAGAGGTCCGCACGTAGCAGGTGCACCATCTGATCGAGTGGCAGTTATTTATAAGAGATAATATTTGCGGAACAAATGTAAAATAAATATCGAGAAGCATGAATCTAAAGCACGCACTATATCATTTCAAAGGAAATACACACTCTCTGTTTGGTAGAATACAACTGTGCTGTATGTTTGTTTTTTAACGAATGATGTACAGTGGAAGCAGTATTTCGGTTCTGGTTCCGGTTTGTCATGCCAGTATTTTTATTTTTATTTCTATTTTTTTTTTTAAATAAAGTTGCAGGCAAAGTACTGTCCGTGCTGTCAGTGAGGTCTCTGTGTAACGCCCCGAGGGGGCAGGTCGGCTGAACTCCCGAACGCAGCCTCCTTGGGTCGGGCGTTACCCTCCCATTGGCCATGAATGATTTCTCCGAATATTTTCGTTCCGTCACCCGGAAAAACAAAAGAGTAAACCTGCTCGATTCGTTTTTCTCTATGCCCACGGCTCGAATATATGTGTATATAATACACACATATATATATAATTTGAGCAAAGTCTGTGCGGAGATGCTAAGGGCTCCGTGCCACCAGTTTGCTTTGCCCATTAGTGATCTGTAAAACCTGCAAAAAAAACCAACCCTTAGAACCGCTGTTGGTATGATCATCAGTCAACTTGTGCCTCCCTTGGGTGGGAATCCGGCAACGCGCACAGCTAAAACTGTCGAGAATTCTCTGTTCTATGTAAATCCCTCTGCCCCCGGGCAGCTGACGAACCTTCGCTACCCATTCGGACATCATGAGCCCGTGAGTTCCTGGCGCCGGGCCCTATTTCAGCCCAGGCTGAGGTGACGGCAAACACGAATTGCTCCCAGCGGGTGAGGGAATCCCAGCTGCAGACGGACTCCCTCTTTGCTTGCAGAGAGCTAAACATGCCCAACAGCAATAGGAAATGAAAACTCACATGCCGGGCTTGGATTCCATATAGAGGTTGTAGTTAGAAAAGCCGTAGGATTTAGGATTTTTTGTTTGTTTGGGCTGGACACCCACCTACTCACTATATACCCACCGGGGCGCCGGACCGACGCTCTGCCCCGAGCACTCCGGGCAGCGCAGGGTCCCGCCACCGCCACCGCCCCGGCCGAGCTCCGGGTCCCGCTATGGCACCGACGGCGGCACCCGCATTCGGGCGGCCCGGGCTGCGCGCCGATATGTGCCTGCCCTGCCCCCGAAGGGAGCACCCCGCCTCGATCACGCGTCACTCTCGCTGTGGCGTCACACCGGTGACATCAGAGCAGCGCAGTGCCCGGCTGCCCACGCTGCGAGCAGGATCCGTCCAGCAAAAAATCGGTGCGGTCCGCGAGCTCGGGAGCGCAGCCGGTAACACCAACAGCAACCACCCTGCGTGAAAGGGCGAGAAGAGACAAAGGCGGCCAGGGGCGAGTCCACGCTCGAGAGGAGATGCAGGTCGGAGGCATCTTCCAGTACGGAGAAAAGAATTCTCCACGTTCACGGGAAAAAGAGAGCTTTTTGAGTGAGAAATAAACGCTATTTTGATCCAAACGTTTTCTTCTTTGTCAAGTCTAGGCGGAAAGAATGATGGTGAGGCTGGAGAAAAATCCTCCTTTAAAATATCACTGATTGAATATCGCTCATTTGTCTGCTCAAGGGCCGCGGAGATTAATTGTGGGGCTTCCATGTTTTGTTTTTCAATGGGAGAGCTCAGAGGTTCTCAGAGTACAATCGAACAAAGAACGACGCAATGCTCCGTTTTCAAGTGAACCATGGAACATGACGTGCTTGTTGGATGTTGTGAGCAAGGAGGGGTGCACACACCGGGATGGCATTCAGACATAAATAGAAACGAATATGAATGCTTTAGAAAACAGCGTTTGAGTGCTCCCCAAAATCATTTAAGATTTGTTGAACTCTTTGACATACGGGTGGCAAAGTATAAGTGACAAAAGAGGTGGATGTAGCCTGCTGTACTGCAGATGAGTTCAGGTGCGGGGCTAGGAGCTGGTGCAGCTCTCAGGGAGGATTCGATCACTTCTGAGCAAGGCAGCAGCTTGGCACACACAGAGGGATGCGTTTTCAAAGCCTTTTGCACTATTGCCCATGTCTAAATTCACCTGCACAGAGGAGATCTGATCAGAAATCTCTGAGCCTTATGCTGCTGCAGGTATGAAGATGTGAGTGTTTTTTTAAGGCTGTCTTTCCAAGGATGCAGCTCTGAAGCAGCCAAGAAACAAAATCTAGGCTCAGAAAAGCCTCTAAGTTGATTTACGTACATAAATGCTGGCTGCGTTTCCGTAGAACTGTTTTCTGCTTTAACTGGAAGTTGAATGCTTGGAAATGTGCTTTGAACCTGTTGATTTGTCTCTAGGTTCTATTTCCAATATTAAATAGTCTTCAAATTCATACCTGATGGACTGAGCAGAAAGCTGTGGGTTCAGACTGCCTGTGTGACAGGGAGACGTGGGGAAGGGAGAAAATCTGTGCGTGACTTCATGTCAGGGAAGGGAGAAGCTCAGGGATTGTTTGTGATCTTCTTGTTTTCCTCCAAACTGTCTGAAAAGAATGATCTTAAGCTTGGCTGAGAGCAGTTACCTCCCGAATTATCACCTGGAGGTAAAGAGCAGCATGTCAAGGCCAGGTTCAAGCTTGCTGGGGTTATTGGACCATAGCAGATAAAATCTGGGAACAGCAAAATGCTTTCAGGTATATTCAAAGTCAGTCCAATGAGGAATGATTCCCTACAGCATGTCGGATGCTATAAACTTGTATTTTTCAGGAAATAGGAGGTGGAAGATTCTTTGCAACTGAAAAACACAGTAGAAGAAGTAGATTAGGAGATCTGAGGCATGTATTCAGCTATGTTTAGCACTGATATTACGAAATGTTATGGAACACTGAACAAAGTTCACAAGTTCTTTCTGTAGACCTGCACCTGAACATGTTATTTTTCTTGTTTCATGTTTCACACATATGTATATTTATCTTCCTTGTTCTACCACATACCATTCTATTCCCAGGATATTTTCCAGTCAGGGCTTGGATCTGTATTCTTTTTTAGAAAATAAGGATTGCTTGCCTCTGATCAGATCGATTTGGAACCAGGTGATTTGAAGTCCTGTTTTGAAATGGGGAAAATGTGAATTAGAAAAGCAATGTCAACAAATTACGGTTGGTTCCGTGTTCTAAGAAGTAATTCATAGCTTCCCCCCAACGCCCCTTTCCTTCAGTTTGCATCTTTTTAGCCTCACAGCAAACAAATAAACAGCTGCAAGGAGAAAGCATTAGGAAGGAAGGGCAGAGGCAGAGTTGGGGAAGAGATGCTGTTCTGCACCCCTCATACGGCTGTGTGAGGTGTAAAACCTGCTGGGGAAGTTCACATCGAAGCATATCTCTGGTTCTTGTAGTGTGAGCAATGTGCTTTAGCTCTAGTCGAGAAATTGAAGTACAAAAAAATGCATTTCAGCTCTGAGCCCTGCAGATCTCTGCTCTAAACTATGCAGCAGCTCACAAAGCGAAACAAAGCTAAACAAAGCAGGACAAAACAAAACAAAACAAGAAAAAGGCAGTGCATTTTTGAGTATATTGATTGAAAAGCCAAAGAGGCTGGGTACTTCAGGGTTCTCAGAGGTACTTCACCTGCCAGCTACCGCGCAGGGCTAAAGAACCCTTCTAAGAATGCCCATTTGCAGCTAAGCAGCAGTTTAAGATTGTGGACAAATAGCTCTGCAATGATGTCTGGCCTACAGCCCATCCTTTTTTTTTTTTTTTTTCTCATCAATAGAGAAGGCCTTTGTAGAAATGAGCAAAACAGACATTTCTGGCTGTGAGAAAGAACACTGGGGATCGCCTTCTGCCTGTGCTGAGAGCTGAGGCAGGATTGAGGCTGGGGCTCATGGCTCCCCATGGCCCACGGTGGGAGCTGCTGTGGGGTCACAGCCTACGCAGAAATCTGCTTCAGCTCTGCATAGGGCAGAATTCATCACATCAGTGCACTGATGTGCTGTGGGCTGTTTTGCTTTCCTTCTTTTCTGTTTTTAAAACAGAATCTCAACCTGATGTCCCTGTGGTCTGTATTGTTGACAGCCAAGTAGCAAAGACTGATGTCTTCTGGACAAAGCAGAATCATTTTTCAGTGTGCTGGTGTGAGAAACTTAAGAAGATGTAAACAAGTTTGCCACATTAAGTGATTTCAGTATTTCCATAGCAGTCTGTTTGCTAAAGCCAAATGAGACAGCTTAGCTGCTGGAGAATTTGAGTGAAAGGTAAGTGACTGAATGAGTAAACTGTAGTGGTAAGTAGGGGAAATAAGGCACTTATGCTTGGTTTTTCAGGGCAGCCTGTACTAATTTTAGAATATTTGTCATGATTGCCCAAGAACTATAGAGTGAGATAAAAACAGTTAGAATGTCAGTGATCTTGTCTTTATTTGGGGGCAATAAATCAGAAGAAAATGCATAACTTTTGTTCCTGAATTAAAGGCATCTCATGCTTTTGTCATAGCTAATGAAAAAAACAAACAAACAAAAAAAAACTATTGTCAAGATATGTGTATAAACAGTGGAAAAATGTGATTAATAAATTAAAAGAAGAAACAACCTCTGTACAACATGCAGGGAACTTTTTGTCCCAGTTAGCAAATAAAAAGTT